CTTGCTGTAGGAACCCCAATTGCACACCTTTCCTTAGGACTGCCTAGCCGCACCCCATGAGGGCCCGAAATAACTTTTAGAGAGCGCCACGAGCCTTCTGGCATATCCCTCTAGGCCATAGCCTCCAACAGCTATTAGCGGCCCCCTACAACCTCCAGCTTAATCGCCGCAGCTTGGCCTTATCCTCCCAGCAATAGCCAGCCATAGCAAATAGATCCGTCCCTTCTACTACCATTAGTTAGCACAATAGCTACGCAAAGATTGAGCACCGCATTCCTACCATGATTAGTCTTGCAGCCCTCCCTTGCCATCACACGCCAGCCCAGCCTGCATACCCATCCTGTTTGACAGCCCCGCCACCCGCCAGAAAGCCCAGTACGCGCAGCGTACGCCAGATAGTACTTTTCCCATACTGCCACTGCACGATTGGATAATGAAGGCCCCCAGCTCCTGTGGTGAGCTGGCCCAAAAGTGCCCAGCAGAGATCTCTGTTGGCCCTCCTGTCTGACTCACAGGGCCAAGTCCTTGGTTTGGTGCCTACTGGCTGTGTTGGAACACTCCTGAAGCACGACAAGGCTCCCTGCCCAACTGCCTTACTACCGCTGTACCTTAGGAAGGGTTTCAGCCAGACCCAGTCCACTACTTAAGTACTGGAACTGAACCTACAAGAAACTTATTGGATTAAAAGTCAGCATAGAATTCAGGCCATTTTAAGGGAAGCGGCAGCCAGCTCTCCAGGTAGCAAAGCGAGCCTCCTGCCCAATTACAAAACAATCAGCTTGCCTAACACACAGTTGATTCATTGGAATTTGGTGCTGATTTCAAAGCCCATTTTGAAGTCCTAAGTCAACAACCTTCTGATCAATTTTGATACTTCCAGCACCACCACCAGTTGACAGCCGAAGCTTCAGCTTCACGATCTATCATCCTACAAGCCCAACACAAAGCCAATTGCCATTGCCTCGAGGACCTACATTCCCAACAGCCAATTGACTACGACGGCAACAAGATAGCTACCAGAACTCCCTACCGGTACCATTGACTGTTGACAGCACGAAGTTCGCAAAATCAACCAATTCCGCTCCGCAGAAGGAAGAAGCTGACCATTCGCCCATCAACTGACACTAGTTCGCCGCCGTCTTTTCGCCTCGCAGAACAGGCAGCACTATATTGCCTTTCGCCCACCTATCTGCGCCCAATCGTGCCAAGCCGCCTTTATACGTACTCCAGCCCGCCATATTTTGACATGCCTTTACTCAGCACGCCAACAGCCCCACACGATATCTTCTTCCAGTACGGGCTTAATCGCTTTCCCAATCCCTACATTGCATATTACTGCTCGCATTTAAACAGGCCGCTTGTAACCACGCCCATATCTCTCACTGGACCCGCACGGACTTTATCATCTAGCCCAAATTTACACGGGAACGTCGCTTTTGGCCAATCAATAAGCGCCCCGTGCTGCAGTTACCGCAGCTTGCTCACAAGTTCTCTGTCCTAAACTAGCCTTTCACGCCATTTCACGAACCGCATGAAGAACAAGCGGATCAGCAATCAAACTAAACGTCCGTGCCAGTCTTCTGTTACTTAAATTCGCCACAGTACCCTGACGCTCCAGCTGAACTAGCTTCACGCCACCCGGAACGTACCAAGCAATTCCTCGCGTCGATCCTAGCGATCGTTCGCAAGCACTTATACGTTAAGCGCTTCCCCCGATCCGCAAACATCCCCCTCAGCTTCCGGCTAAATACCTCCGCGCCTCACAATTTCAACCGATTTACGCTAGCTACCCTTACGTTCGCAAGTCATTGAATTCCGGTTGCCCGGAAGCCCTCCGCAGCCCACTAAGCCTTCGGACCGCATGACAACTCGAGGAAGCCTACGAGCACAACCAAGAGCGTCAATTTGCATTGCCAGCTGAAACTCAACGCCTACCAGTCGCGAATCCGCCCATTCCTCGTTAGTCAGCCTCGCCATAGTCTCACCATATGGATTCTAGGGGAGCCCTTTTTGGCCTCCTTTATCTGGGAGCACTCATTGGACCAAGCCTTGTAATAGGCCCTCCACAGTGCGCCAAAATCACCAAAACCAATGCAATTCCCAGCACCAATGCAACACAGGAAGCAGGCTCCATACCCTCTACACTGGCTACATTATTCAAGAACAACCCAATTGAATTTACTAGCCCCATACCAAGATCACTGGAAGTATCCTTTGTGTTTCCAAAGTACAGTTGAGACAGCCTTTTACTCTACGCCCGCCTACAACAGTCCTGGATCTCCCAGTATTTCCCAAGCCCCACAACAGCTACACCTCTTCCTAGCCCAACACACGCAGGCACAATGTCTAGCGGGGATACTCAGCACCAATGCCTGCTGCCACTACTTCAGCACGAGCCCGTGCCACAGCCCACCAATCCATACTTTGCAATCATCTCTTGCCACAACCGCCGCCTCGCGCGCACCACGGCATAAACCCCCTAAAAACCCAAACTAAATACCTCTGCTTCCCAAGCCAATTGCTAACCCAACAGCCTATGAAGTGGCAGAGGCCATAGGTGGATTCCAACCAATAGCAACAATTTCACCATCCAACTCAAGACATGGTATGGCAAAAGACACTCTCCTGTGGTAGATCCGGTCGCTCAATTTCGACGTGACTGATGTGGCTAGACGCATGATGGCCTACAGCCCAGCGGCCTAGCAGACGAGTGAAAACACATCAGCAGCAGCCAAGCACGCTACCCGTCGCTACGCGATCTACCAGCGCGCAGCGCAGCACACGCCCAGAATGTAGCCGCCTCCTGGACCAGTCACCCCAACCACCAGGCACTTTCCCAGCCAGCTTATGGGGATGCCATTGCCATCCAGCAACGCTTGACCAATGACCCTCTTGCGACCTCACAACAGCCTACAGCCCCCCACCAAAATGTAGCCACGCGCCCCCATCACTCCTCAACCGCCCGCCAGCTTTGCTGCCGCGCGAGTTGCCCGCCACACTGACACCCCTGCATGGCGGACGTGTTCCAGCATCACGAGCCACCAGCCTGCCAGTGCACCCCCTATTGGATCGCCCACTGCTGCGCTGCCCACTCCATCGGTTCAAGGCATTGATGCAAGCGGAATTATCCGGAGCTTTACCCAGCCCTAAGCTAGCTCATCCAACTCTGGGTGAGATCATGATGGTAAAACCTCCAGCCAACAGGCACCAGCTTCCATTGTGGCAACAACAACATTGCAGCTGCAGCTGCACAACCAAATAGACCAAGTGTGGCTCCAACTCAGCCAGCTCTCCAGCCAAGAGCATATGAGCAGACCCACAGTGTGGTGACCCGCAAACAACCTGCTCCAAGAAACAGAGCACACAAGGGTCCCACCACAACCAACATTGGCAGGAGCCCTAGTGGTCCATCACCCAGTGACACCCAAGGTTCCCAAGCCTGGTTCCCACAGAAACACCAACCTATGGCACACAATGCCACAAGATCGTACCCATGAGGTGCCGTTGGATCTTTGGATAGGACCAGCCTTGTCCAACCATCACCAGTCCTTTGCCAGGAGGCCCACCAAACAGATACCCTCTGCTCTTGTGGGGAATCCATGGGGAGCAACCACCAGCAAGCACCTTTGACCAAGACAGCCTTTGGTGTCTCCTACCAGAGCTGCTGCCATGTGTCGCCTCCCAGAAGCCTGTCTGCGCGATGCTATCTAACCCGAAGCCCTAGTACCATGGCAACAGTGTTGCATGGGCCAATCCCGGTTACGCCGTTGGATTTTCCCAGGGCGATCGATTCATGTTCCTGATCGATCGAGCCCAAGACCCACAGTCAAGGAACATGTCCGCGGGGCAAGAAGCCGCTCCACTGAGAGCTTGCCACCGCTGAATTCGGCCTGTGGCAAAGCCACGAATATTTGTCTACATATGAGAAAACAAACAACAGCTATGATAGCAACCAGCACCGCCGACACCTACCGAGTCTGGCCATGCTGATGAAGCACGCAATCCCTTTGCGCCTACCTTTGGTCCAGCAACCGACCAACCATGCAAGTCCCTCCACTTGTGAGATCCCCACCTCACATTGTGTTCCACTAGCGGCCAATGCTGAGTGGCCCATGAATGTTCCGTTCATGGGGAGAGTTTGTAGATAGTTAGAATTGAGGAAGCAGGAACGTGCAGCAAGTGCTTACTGGGTCGAGTGGGAAACTGGAGTGTCTCATGGTACATCTGAGGTTGTCTCATGGTACATCAGAGGCTGTCTCAGTGGACACAGACTTTGGGCAAAGGGACATGAAGAATGTCTGAGCGTGACAGTGATCATTGTTCCACACAGAACGGCGTGACAGTGATCATGATTCCACATGGAACATATGGAACATGTTCTCTGACACCTTTGTTCCCTGACACCAATGTTCTTTGACACCATTGTTCTTTGCGACTGTCACCCCAAAGTGACTGTCATATCTACTGATGGAATCCGCAAATGACTGAGGATACTGTGACAACACTACCGTCTTCCCCAAATAGAAGGAGCAATGCCAGGTTTCACCCCAAAGACTTGCAAGGTCCAAGTTTCAGAAATCACACAACACGTCCTTCATTTCCAAGCTCGCAATTTCAGGAAATTGGCACAACAATAAATAATAAACAACAACAAAAGACAAATTACCTTTTCATCAGATTTCAGATTTCCTTTTAGTGGTTATTGAGCCCAACCTACCAGGCTAACCACCATTGCGCTTACCTCTGATAAACCTACCAAGCTACAACAATCCCTCCATCCAACCAGTCAGGTACTTCAAGAGCCCGAGGTGTCTGCCAAGTGTTGTTTGGAAGGAGCTTCAGGAGACATCCGGTAAATCTGTGTTCAATTGAAGCTAGTTTGTGGAAGACTCCCATTGGAGCATTGATTTGACTGTCCCATTGGACTTGTGTTCGAAGGTCTCCCATTTGGAGCCGTGTTTGAAGTCCCCTTGGACTTGTGTTTTGGAACTCCCACTTGAGTTGAAGTCTCCCACAGGAGCTGATCAGAGTTGATCATGGAAGACCCTGCAGGAGGGCGGACTGGTACCGGAGACGCGGATCTCATGGACAGAATCAGAGAGCTTGAGGAGGACTTAACTAGGACTCAAGAAGAGCTCGCAAGAATCACATCAACTGATGATGAAGCAGCTCAAGAAGCAACTGACAATGATGGCCCACCAAGCGATGATCCAGATGGTGAAATGGCTTACAAACTTGCTGAGTTGGTTGCCGCATCAGTGACTAAGGTGCTGAAGGGAGATGTGAATCAACACTCATCTACCCCCATCACTGCTCCTATCATAGTAGAAGTTGGAGGCTCCAAAACAATTCGCATGGGTGGTATTCCTAAGGCAGATTGGTCCGGCTTGGAATCTCCAACCCTCAGAGTCCACTCTGGGCAGTATAGGAGTCTGGATAGAACCACACTGGAAACGAAAAACTCTGCCAAACAATGAATTTGCTCTGTAGTTTCACTCTACAGAAGGGGCAGAGTGAACTCCCAGAGTTTTGGCTAAGTAATGAGTTCGAACAGGCCGCAGAATGCGCAAAGAGAGTGCGGTACGATTGGCCTTGAATTTTCACTGGGACGCATAGAGAGCGAATCCAAACTTCCAGTATATAAGGAAACAGAATGACGAGCCCAACAGGCCCCAGCCCCAGTAGCTTGCAAGACTATATTTTATATCATACCGAAGCCAGGAAGTATGTAGCTAGAGAGAAAAGACGGCATGCTACTATGATTGCAGTTTAACGAGCTACAGCCCACAGTCCAAAAATAATGAGAGCATAAAAATGATGTTCCTCCTATTATGGTAAGAGACTAAACCAGACTGGGCAAAGCAAAGTAGTCGAGCGGACATACATCGCGGCAGATTCCGGAAAAGCGAGCTAGCGAAGGCGGGCAGCCAGGAGAGTGCCCTGTCTTCCTGTCCATTGAAGGGTGTGTGTGGCAAAAAGCAGCAGCGGCTATCTGGCCCAGGTAACTGTGTGCTTCTAAGAGAAATTCGAAGGTACGCGCGAAGGTCAACCGATCTCTTAATGGCAGGAGACTGCCCTTCAGCGTGCTTGTCCGAGGTACATAGCTTGCTGATATATAGGAAAAGACATCAGGGTTGAAGAGAACGACTCCAAGGGTCTGTAATAGAAGCTCTCCAGCAGCATACAGAAGCCCATCTTGTGGACATGTTCAATGTTCCATCCTTTGTCTATCCATGCAAAGAGAATCAACACTTCATGGCAAAAGATATCCGGTTAGCCAGGAGGATTCGAGGTTGGAAGGTTTTAGGTACTAATGCTAGACCTGAAAAATTAATGTATAAGATAATCATGTGTTCTTCTTTGTTTCCTCTTTCTGCATACCGCATATGTTCTTTTGTCAGTGCAGCCTTACTGTTTTTGTTGCACGTGAGGCTAATTGTTTCCTTTTCGTTGTACTTTGTTGAAATGACAACTCCTCTTGGCTAGAGCTAAGTTAATCGATCTGTGGTTATAAATATATATAGGTATACATATATAGATAGTAGTATACACTGGTCTGTTCAAGGATCGAAACATGCGCCTGCCATCCTATTGTCATGCCACTCCGGGTACACATAC